CATTTGTGACCACATCGCTATCAGCCGATATTAGTGTTATTTCCGATATATCTGTATCGGTCCAATGAAAAAATGTCGCCGATTTGAAAAAGCGATGATTGTCTAACGTCAGCGCCTTTGTCTCCACATTTGATATTGCTGCTATTTCACAGATGTTTTTGCTTAAATGGTTCTGGACTTAAACAAATCAAATCAGTTTATTGTCATCCGCAGTAGTACAGGCAAGATGAGAGAGTGTTTCTACAGGATTATTCAACCAGCAAGTTTTGCATAATGCACGTCTGGGATAAGACACTAAACGTTCACTCTCACTGTCTCCTGAAGGGGGCGCTGCGTCCATGCACGCCACCATTCGTTTAACATGGCGAACCTCTTCAGGTCCTGGTAGGTCTTCAGGGACACAAAGACACACATGATGGTGTGACGATGGTGAAGCCACAGATGCTGCCCAGAGCTAGCTGTCTGTCTGTCTGTCTGCCCAGAATAATAGTCATCCCCTCCAACTCTATGTCCGTCTGGGATGTTGTCATGGAGCCATGTTTCTGTTCAAGCAAACACATTGCAGTCTCTCCACTCTCTGCGGGTTTCTCTCAGCAAACGTAGCTCGGCCAGCTTGTTGTCGAGGGGGCGGACATTGGAGAGTAGGAGCGACGGTCCTGCTGGTCTGGAGGGATTAGTCTTTAGCATGGGTCCCGGCTCTCTTCCTTCTCCTTTGTTTACGTTCGTACTGTTTGCACTTCCTTCTGTCTCGGGTAACTCCCGGCATAGTCTCCGATCGGACTCCATGTTGGTGTAGTATGTCCAAATCACAGCCGATCACCGCAATTCCAGCGCCGTTCACTGTCCTGATGCCACGCAAAGTCTCACAGCCGCAAGTTTTGAGGAATGAACGTCTGGGATACACAAGACACTCAAAAAACGTTAAATATGTTTTAGTTTTGTTACGTAATAAAGAAGACTATGTGGTCTAATTTGTTACGGACTTCTTTTGAATAGTTTTCACGTTCTCACAGTGCTTATACTCATTTTTCGGTGTGAACAAAAATTGAATATCAAGATCGGTGTTATCAGCGATATCAGAAATCCTAAAATCGGTATTGGCTATAAATTTTAATATCGTGCATCACTAATTGGAATGCATTACTTGGTGAATAAAGTGCACCTGGTGGTACCATTAAAATATGTAAAGAAAGAAATCTTTTTGTACAGTTTGCAAAAACCTTTTGAAGAAATGGGTTTGATCTTTCGGTATGTCTGCTGTGATATTTCCAGAGTGGTGCTCTTAGGGGGCAGTACAGTCAGTCCATGTCAGTGGATCTGCTGTTTATGAGTCAGTGGGAGGACCAGCGCTGGCCTCTCACACAACATCGCTCTTTCAGGCTCCTTAAGACTCCTCTCATTCCTCAAACCCTGGTTTTGACCAAAGGTAAGGCTTTCTTGGTCCATTTTATGTATATTTAATTGATTAAAATAACAGTTGGTTCAGTGGTATCGTAATAATAGAAACACATTAGGTATCAGTACTGCCGAAATCCATGGTTTTAGATGTGAAACAAGTTAGCAGTGGTTTTTATTTGGACATTTAAAAAGCTGAATGTGGAGAGCTTAAAAGGGGAATGTGTTTAATTGCATTCAATGTTGGTTGAGTCCTTTTTAAAAGCATGATTGGAACTTGTATTTTTGTTTAAATACACACAAAAATCACTGAATAGAAGTCACAATGTCTCCTGTGCATACCACATTATGAAACTATTTTCCATTTTCTAGATGAAGGCTCACCCAGCGGACTGCTTTCAGTCACTTTAGGCCTCTTCACAGCTCAAGTGCACCTCAAGAGGGTGACGGTAGACGGCGGCGGTAACCTCTTAACCTGGTCCCACAATCCTCACAGACGCAGCGACGCAGACCTCGAGGTGTTCAAGCTTTCCCACTCCAACGGGAGCCACTCCTACCAGCTACGTCTTCCGTTATCACATTCCAAAATAATCCCAGAGGTGAGACTGACTAACACCGAGCGATTTAAGCATGTACAGAATGTCAGTGTGTCTGAAACAAGCTGCTGTCTGATCCCAGCGTATAGGTGGTGGGTATAAGATGTACAGCCTTACTTTCATCTTTACTCTTTCCATCTCACCCAGTGGAGAGGTCTTTCACCATCAAGCCACTGTAGAGCACAGTATCCAATATGAAGGTGAGTGCAGTTTTCTGACAACCATTTTAAAATGCAAATGTATGTTGTTGTTTTTTTTAGGTTAATTTATCATCTTCTAGGCAGCCAGGGTTTGCTATTTTTCTTCTGTTGTGAGAAAACTGTGTGCTAAGTTATCATATTGTAGATTTTACCACAACGGTTTGTTGATTAGTTAGGTTTTTAGGAAAGATTTTGTGTTTTTTGAACTGTAGTTTGTAGTGTTTTGACTGTGTTGTGATTTTTACAGATTTTTCAAAAAATTGAGGGCTTTTATTTTGAAGTTTCTTTGTAAGACGCACAGTCTTTAGAGTGGCCATCCTCTGCCTCAGTGGACAATTCCCTGATGAAGGCCTGTGCCCAAATGCCTTGGTTATATAAATAAAGAAGATTCTTTAATAAGTGCTGTTTTTGAGAACTAATCAATGAAATGTATGTTTTAGATATGTTTAGATAATGTCATTATAATTCTGACAGTTCCAGAACCAAATTGAAACTTAAGACTGCCGTGATACACACGATCTTTACAAATGTATGTTAATTTTTGTTCACCATTGTATCCTGGTGCAGATCCAGCTTCACCCTGGCTGGAGGGGAAGTGCACAGAGAGCAGCCTGCTGGTGCTGCTGCACTATGGAGCTCAGGATGAGCTGCAGTGGGAGCTCTTTCTCGGAGCCCGCAAGCTGGATTGGAACCTGGTGGAGATGGGTGGATTCATAGTGGAGTCGGAGGAGAACTACTTGACTGTGAAGATCCCCTTCTACAGCCCTGGGATGACTTATGAAGTAATCAGAACTGTTGTTTTTTTTTTTTTTTAACCTAAACTCTTCTCTACTATTTTTGGATGTTTTCATTTTGGTTTGCTATATCTCTCCTTTACATTCTCGTGTGTTTGTGCCTACCTACAGCCTAATTTAACCTCATTAAATTGTCACTATATCACACTTTTGTAGTGGTTATGAACATGTCTCCTCTCTCTTTTTTTGCCTCTAGGAGCTGACATTGCAGGGTCTTGTTGCTGGAGTCCAAGTGTCTGTTGTGGAAGCAGAAACTCTGAAAGAACATGATAGCCTTGTCCATAAATGTAGCTTTCCTGTTCGAGAACTTCTAGGTAGAAACTGAAGAATAATACCTCAACATTTATTGTTGCTATCCACCATCACAATTATGTTTCAGTCGTAACAGCCTTGACTCTGTGTCTCTGACAGTATGTTTGCCTGAAGGGAGGATGGTGGTTATAGTTGACACCACACACACCATCCCACCCACCCCGCCCAACCGGACCACCCTATTGGATCCCACCTGTGTTCCTATGGAGACGGACAGTGCTAGAGCGCTGTTTAGTTTCAGCGTCAACTCCTGCGGGACAACTGTGACTGTGAGAGACTTTACTTTTGCAAAATTAACAGAGAAAATGCTTTCTTCCCCCCTGATCTTACTTCTTCATGTCACTTTAGGTTGATGGAAACTTTCTGGTTTATGAAAACCAGATCAGTTACCCTAAAGACGTTCTGTCTTTGAACGATCCTGTCATACGCAGAGATTCTCCTTACAGGTGAGAAATGTACACGAAACTAATTCTGTGTTTAGAAAAGCAAACTGATGTTACTGAAGTCTTGTCTGTTTTAGGCTGACGATCCAGTGCCGCTACCCTGCAAACGATACGAGTATTTTTGCTATCCAGCATCAATTGAGTTCATCTCTGGACCAATCATTTGTCCCACACATGTAGGGAAACTGACTACACAGGTGTGTGTGTGAAAGTTGCTTACAGTGTTAGTCTTTTTGATCTGCTTTTTGGTTTGTGATATTCGTGTATGAAAATTTGAAATTTGCCTCATTCAGGTGAAGGACGATGGAGGGTGAATTTATGACGCTGAAGCTTACTTTGTTAAGGTATTGCTGCTGTAAAAACTGTATTCAGATCATCAACATCGCTGTGTTAAATGTTCTATGCTTCAGTCAATTGCACAAATGCAATTTTGTTCTAATATTTGATACTAATTTTGTCAAAGGTAATGATTATATTTATCTGTAACCTATGTCAATGTAAGGAACAAGATGTTTGTTTTCCTCTTTTTCTGTTATTTCAGTGTAGATCACGCGGATGCTTGTTTTCATGCTGCTACAGGACCTGCACATAAGTGAACGTTCTTTAATCATTTGTTTTATTTGTGTGTAAATCTTTATCTTTTTTTTTTTAATGTTTATCCAAGAATGTATGGGAAATTGAAAGAAACGTTAATGCTGCGTTTTTGTAAAGAGGCATTTCAAGTATTAATTAAAGACTACTGTTAAACCTTGTCTACTTATGCTTTACATGCGTAATCAGGGTTCATAACTATTGTTACTGTTATTGCTAGTACTGATATAGAGAAACGGAGAAATGTAGTTTTTCCCAAAATACATAAGCTACTAATGAAGTAAGGGTAAAATTAAAGTAAAATTGAGTACTGCATTTTTGTGTCTAAATATTATCCTTTTGTACTGAACATTCTGATCCACTGGGACTCCATTGAAAATGTTTTTATCAACACTTGTGCTGTCACAAGTCAAAATGTGTGCTCTGAAAAAAATCCACTGATTGAAAGATGCTTGATTCCTAACAGGCTACACATGTGGGTGTAGCCACTGGTTGATTGGTGACTTGACTAATTAAAGGAAGCATTACCGCATGATGCCAGTGTGGCCAGGATATACCAAGCAAATGATTCACCTTAGCTTGTGTTAGTTGGCAGGTGTAGTTTGCTAGCGGCCAGGCTAGCTTTAGACCCTGCTAACACATCAGTGGCTATGGGTTTTGCTTCTTGCCTTGGGTAAGGTGCTTACACAAGGATATGTTCATGTGTATTGATGGATTTGATACATATAAATATATCCCTTTATCTTACAGTGTGGCCTTTCTTCTTTCTGTTTGGGCAACTTTAAAATGTGATGATGTTCCCAGTGGTAAGCTTTAAATGTTTACTTTTTATCAGAAGAAGTAGTTCACAAGTCTTCATTTTCAAACTTTTTTTGTGTTCGTGCAGGAGTTCGTATGGAGTGTCATGATCGTTACTTCATGATAGCTATTGATCTCTCGCTTGCTGGCAATGAACCTCACTTTGAAGCTGTTGGTGAGTCATGCACAGCTTTATTTGCTAGATATCTAGTGCAGAGGTAGATTAAACTACATTAATGCTGCGATTGTCCTTCAGACAGAACAGGTGCGTACACTATTACTGAACAGTATGCAGCAGAGTGTGGCTACAGTGTCAAGGCTCTCCCTGTCCACGTGGAGCTCCGAGCCTCTTACTTCAGCTGTCACACTGACAACAAAGTTTGTAAAAACTCCCACAGCTCCAAGCTTTCTGCAGCCCTGACTCCATTTAACAGTTTGTTCTGGCTTTCAGGATGATGAACTGTTCACATTCAGGTTCAACTTGTTTGTGAACCATGAAGGAAAGCAGGTCACCCATGCTTTGAACAAGACATGTTCTCTCTCTTTACCTTGGTCTCCCAGAGAGGTGACCTGTGAGGTGAACTACATGGAAGTAAGCTTGGATAGATCTTGTATCAGTTTATTCGGGGAGCATGTTTTCGATGTTCGCTAATCCTGGATTCTTTGTAGGTGTCTGTGCGGAGGGAGCTGACTTGTCCATCTGAAAGATCCAAGGATGTCTTGGATGCTGCTTTTAAACCCGTATGTTTCAGCTTGAGTACCATCTTGTCACCCATTATGTGTACCTGAAGTAACACAAGCGCATATTACTACTTCCAGGTATATTCCTCAGTCAACTCACATTGGCAGGTGATGTTCCAGAGAGATGGGGAACTGTTAAAACCCATGAACCTCTCTGAAGCTCGTAAGCAAGGCTACGTTTTTGACCTGACAAAGGGAAGGCTTGTATTTCGCACAGTGTATGGACAGCCTGAGTCATTTAGCGTTGAGGTAAACGGATGTAAATTTGCATGTATAGTAAAAGTTAATTACCTTACTAATGGTAAACTGCATTTATTAGAAATCCCATTTTTGAGTCTCTGTCCAGGTGAATGGTGTTCCAGTAGAGTTTGTCCACGCAACTCTGCTCTCCAGACAGAACTGGTTTGTCCTCACGGTTGAACTGGCGGCTGCTTGTTCCATGCGTTAGTATTGCGGTCTGTACTTTTACCTTTTCTTATCTGACGACTCATATTAAAATCTAAAGTAATGGTGTGTCCCCAGATGAAGGATCGTATGACAGTGGCTACATAATGTGGGAAACTCCAGAGGCGCTGTATCCATGGCTCGACAGCACACAGATCAATCTTGGACTCAATGGTGAACTTTTGATGCAGTCAGTTGCTGAGGAGAGAGGCTACATTGTGGAGAAACGCAACACCACAGTCCACATCAGCATCCCTTACAATGCTGAAGGAGGATACAGAAAGGTGGAAAAACAGGGCCAGAAAGTGGGCTGTAGAGCTGGCTGTCAGATTTCTAGCACAAATTTACATCTTCCACAAGTGTTCTCAGATCTAACATGTGTATCTCTGACAGAGCTTAATGTCTGGAGACCTCTACGAGTATTACATCTTGCATTTCTATTTGGAGCAAATCTCACGGAAGAAGGATCGTATCGACACCAGACTTCGTTTTCGTGGGACACTTGTCACCCCTCTCATGCTGCGCCACATTTTTACCGAAAACAGTAAGTTTACTGAAGACAGTTTGTCAGGTTAATGCATCCATAATCTTATTTTCTTTTTATTTCAGGAACAGTCCTTGAGGATCGTACATTCACAGTGTACCTCGGAGATGTCCCTGAAGACATTAGGTTGACTGCTGTTCATTTGAATGGACAGCTGACAAATGCAAGTGTCCACACCATCATCAAAGTTGTTCAACCCAACAACACACACGGCTACACTGTGAAGGTGCCTTTTGATGATCCTGTTGTGATACAGCAGGTAAAGGACTTAGTAATTTTGTCTCCATTGGTAATTCCAGATGTCATGCTGGTTTATGCATCTTGCATATTAAATGTATTTTCCATCTCTTAGTTCCGCAAAGAAAATGCAGCATTGGTATACAGGCTAGACATCAACTATACACTGACTGTTGAGCCTGAAGATAAAACCTATTACCACAGAGCATCAGTCATGGCATTAACGGATGTCTGTAAGTCTCAAACCTGTATTCGGTTAGTCCTGCTCAAATTTACAAAAAGATTATTCACAGTGCTGCATTTGACAGCTCCTCCAGCTCTTGACGCCGTCTGTTCTGAGTCCGGGATCAGCTTCAAACTGGACCACCGGCCTTTTGACTACCTGTGGGACATCAGCGTTGGCACAGACCTGCTGACATCAGAGCTGGCAGCCCAACACGGCTACATCTTGACAAATGATAGCCAGAGTCTGCTGCTCAATGTGCCACTCTTTACTGATGGGTATCAATACGAGGTAAGATGTGGAAATGAATTGATGGACATTAACTCTTGTTGTTTATTTTGTTATGTTGTCTTGACCATGTAGTGACTAAAGTGTCTATTTCCAGAATGTTACACTGAAGGGATTCTTTGCCACTTTTGAGATCCTAGTGAGGGATCGTCAAACATCATCAGTTCAGAGCTCCACTGTCAAGACGTGTCCATTCACTGAAACTGAACTCATTGGTAAGAATGTCCTGTTTTAGCTTTAGATGGTCGTTGAGTTTTCCATGTAGTTGACACACGTGCTTAAACACGTCTCTCTGCAGTGTGTTCGACTGATGGTAGGGTGACCGTGGTGGTTGACTTGTCTCTGGCCATCCCAAGTGGAGATATCCCTGCAAGAACGAGCCTCTTGAACAAGGATTGTGGACCCAAAGAGACAGACGGCACCAGAGCTCTCTTCTCTTTTTCTGTCAATAGCTGCGGATCCATCGCCAAGGTAGGGCCAATTAATGATTGTTCCATGCTCCATTCTATGCTTGCACCCAGCATTGAAAGACTTTGTTTTTGTAGCTGGACAAGGAGTATGTGACGTATGAAAACAAGATTTCCTTCAGCCAGAAGCTCCCCTCCATGACAAATCCAGCAGACCCAAGCCATGATGATGATGGGTAAAAATCTTAAATATGAAATATTTTGGCTATTTTACCCTTTCCTCAACTACCATGGCACGAGGAACAGCATGCCCTTTGTCTTCCAGGATCACATTGCAGTGTACGTATCCCCTGGCTGCGCTTCATCGTCTTTTCTCAGTGTACCGGTTCGAGTCCGACACAATTGGCGTTGGCCGTATTGTGCATTCCACTCAAGGTAGGGGTGTATTTCAAAGGCATAAACCACATCACTCAAAATGTCTCATACTGAAAATGTCGTCTTATACTCTGTAGGTCTACAGAGTCCCACCACGAAACCCACCACCACTACTAAACCCACTACTAGACGCGTCACAAGACCCGTCCCACTACGACCTGCTTACCCCCTTCCTGCCCATTTTAACAAAGTATCCCATTTCCTCAAGAAACTGTCAAAGAAAGGTTGGTTCAAAATTCATTTTCATATTTGAAAAATAAATCTTAAAGTTCGTATTTGACAACCTTGTTGAAATCTTTACAGGACCACTGCCAACGTATAATGGATTGTGACGACATGTATTTTAAATTCAATAAATTTGTCCTAAATGCTCTTGACTTGTCATTGGGGACTGAAAGCAACACAGCCAGAAACTTTGAGTATTAATTTATGTATTATTTAGGTGATTTTTTTTTTTTTTTTTTTTAATTTTTCTCCCCACACTCATTCCAATGCAAGGCGATGTTGGTACTACGGTACCAAAACTGTGTTTGTTTGTTTTTTCTTTAAATGATCTAAAGACAGTATTATTGTTCAACTGTTAAACCAGGCTTGAAGGCTGAGTGTCCTTGAACACTTCAACATATTTAGCAACTGTTTTCATTCTGACAGGGTCTTCACAGTAACTGAGATCAATTTGATAATTGGTTCAGGAATAAAGAATATTTTCCATTAAATTGAAGGGTGTGAAAGAATTGCATAAAAGAAACGCGTACAACTAAACAAGTTTACCAAGACAAATTGACATCTAACCATTTGAATGTGAATTTCCCAAAGGGGATGAATAATGTATCAACTATCTTGTTCCAACTTTGGGGCTGTCTAGGATGGTAAGTATTGGATCTCACATACTTGAAAATGCAAAAATAAATAAAAATCACAATTTTGCCAAAATTAGTTTCTTCTGTACGACTGAGTTGCTGCTCCTTCTCACTGAAATGAGCTGGCTGTGGTACAGAATACAAATCTCTTTTGGCCTCAGAATCCCACTGAAATGTTGCTGGGGAAAAGAATGTCTTGTAAGCCCTGCTTAGACTCCTGCCACTGCCATGTGACTCCAGATAAGAGGAAAACAATGGATGGATGAACCCCCAATTATGTGATTAAAACCATTTCAGCTGTACAACCAAACAGTGTGGGTTTGAAGATGATTCCTCCTCAGGCGCAATTCATCTTGAGGCTGTGATCAATGAGCAATAAGGGTCTGCAGTCAACAGCTGAAAATTACAAGTTTAATTTTAGGTGTCATATCTTTGCACTTTCAAGAATTCTGCCAAGTTTTGACAAAAAGTACCAAAACCTCATGTGATTAAATTAGAGATATCTTGTGGAATCTAGATGTGAGACTTGGGTGTCTTATCTTAGTATATATAAGTAAGAATGTCCTTTGAGTGTCTGTTTAGTTTCTGTGTGGCTATTTCTGTGAAAGCCAAAGGTGAGTCATTGAATTTATCCTGTTTAACAGTTTCACCAAGTCATGCACACTTCATAAAACCATGACAACTGACAATTAATAAACTTTACCAGGTGCAAAAACATATTAATTTTTCATAGCCTAAAAAGCTGAAGGATGAGTCCTAAATACTGCAGTACTAGCACATGTATGTTTATAATTTATCAGGAAGCAATTGCGTACAGAAACGTGGAGCCAATTTCAAATTCCTTGATGGTCGTGTAACTGGGTTGAACTTTGAGAAGAAATTACTGAAACACCATTGTCTTTCAGTTTGGTTTACATGCCTCATCTAAGTAGCACCAATAGATCCCTAAAACATGGTGCTTGGTAATCTCATGGTTGAGGCACATATAGCAATTATCATGTAGGATTTGGTCTTCTAAGCACTGATTCTTACCAATATAAGTGAAATATCATGAGTACTTCAAGACCCTCTATAGTTCTCTTCCAGCATTATTGTTCAACAGTAACTGAACTAAAGTGTAATGGGTACAAATCAAGTGTAGGAAATGCTTTAAATTTTGCAAAGATGATCTGAGAAAATGCTTGCTCGATGCGGTGCGTGTTACTTGTTCAAATGGGGGCAACATGGTCATACATGCTGCATGACTTGTATGACATGCTTGTAGCCCCCTTTGAAAATCGTATTGCTCAAGTGGTGCAAGTCAGCTGATTATCCAAACATCCACACTGCTGCACATGGTAAAATACTGTTACTGATTGTAACTGATGGGGTGTTAGCCACATATGAAAATAAATCCAGTGAGCTTTTAACTGCTCAGCTGTTGAGCACATTTTTTAAGTTGTTGTGGGGTCAAAAATCTAGCAAAAAGATAAGATTCCATTAAACAGTTGCTCCAGTTGGTACACTAACTTATCTCCACATGGAGCAGCACACCTTAATTTCTTTAGTCATTGGCAAAACAGCTCAGCAGCCAAATGCTTCATCAACTCTAGATTTATTTTATCCAATGTAGTCAGAGTTTCTGATTAATTTTATTAATATAGCACCACATCACAATATAAGTCATCTCAGGGAACTTTGCACAGTAAGGTCAATATAACTCCACTATTCTCTCTATATCAAGCACTTGGCGACAAAAAAACTCCCTTTAAACAGAAAGTTAAACCGTATCCAAGGAGAGTGACCGTCTGCCTCGAGAGCAGAGAGAAAAGATAAGAGAACCAACCAACCACATGCTCTCAGGAATCACATTCACAGGTTTAACTTATGAGCAATCAAGGCCACTTGCAGCTGATTTGTCGCAGTGAAACTTCCTTTTAACTTACAAACAAAAATGAACCACTGAAAGCTTTTGTAGCAGACCATGCAGTACTGCTAGTAAAGCCAGGATACACCAAACACGCGATTCACTTTAGCTGGTGTTGTTTCGCAGGTGTAGTTTGCTAGCAGCCCTGCTGGCTTTAGACACTGCCTACACGTCATTGGCTATGACTTTTGAGTTTAGCTTTGGGTGAGTGTTTTAAGTGGCAACTTTACAAGATATAAAGATGATTTTGGACTGAAATGTTTGTTTGCGTTCCAGTGTGGCCTTATTCTGGTCTATGTGGTCAATGGCAAGAGGTGATCAAATTCCAGAAGGTAAATAAATGCCAGTTTGCACACCTATGATAATTAAAAGGTGATCTGTATTTAACGCTTGTTTGTTCAAGCAGGAGTTCTTTATATGGAGTGTCATGATCGTTACTTCATGATAGCTGTTGATCTCTCCTTTACTGGAGCGGAGCCTCGCTTTGATGCTGTTGGTGAGTCATCCAGCAAAACTTAACCCCCTGAACCCTAGGCTGTTTCTGGGCACTTTTTTTCCCCTTCTGTTGCATTTGTACTCAGTGTTGGCTCCTTTTCTGATTCAAAGTAAAGTCCTGCACTTCTATAGAAACACTACAACATGACTAGACATACAGAGAACTCAAATGTCCTCTGTGCAGTGGTAGAATGCCGATAATAATATAAAAAAAACAAAAGTAGAATTTTTCTGATTACATATTTTACATAGATTGCACATTTTTCCAAGTGCCTACAGGTCGTACCAATACTGAGGGAAAACCCTACATACTATAGAGATTTTACCACTAACGTCTTTAAATAGTTTCCATACTTGTCTCCTCTCTGATGTGTGTAGCCTGCAGTTCAGCCAAAGTCTCTCTACATTTTTGGAATGTTGATTGCAGCTGAATCACTAATGGCTTCTAAGTTGTGCTGAGGAGTGCAGATTTTTTTTTTTTCTTTTCCCGGTTGGGTACTGGAAACGGTTTGACTTTATGAGGCATGTAGAATGAAGTAATTCTGGTAAAAGATGACAATTTTTAAGCATAGGTTTGGTTAGTTTTCCCGTGGGAAATACTCATTGCATGTGATGTGTTTTAAAGCTGTTGGAAAGTTGAAAATCCAGCTTTTTTTGAGAAGCTAGCATTCCTTTTAAACCGAGTGAAGTATTTTGGGGTTGTGAGGGTGGGTTACCACTGACCGTCTGGCAGTATTGGGATTGTTCATTGAAGTATTCCTTTTTAAATGAAGGATAAAGTCAATTTAATCACTTAAAATAGTAGTCGTGAGATGCTACACTTAAACTAGTGAGCTTTAAAAATGGTTTACTCTAGTTTTTTAATAATAAGCTACCTAACTATTGTGTTTATATTCTTTTTCAGACAAGACAGGCGTGTATGCCATCACTAAGCAGTACGCAGCAAAGTGTGGCTACAGCGTTGGTGTTCACCCTCTGCTGGGTCTGGTGGAGCTCAGAGCGTCTTACTTCAGTTGTCACACTGACAACAAAGTACGTACAACTATATAGCAACTGCAACCTTTCTGCACCCAAACAAGATTTAGTTTCAACACCCTCATTTTTTATCCAAGTTTTCTTCTTGTGGGTCTTTCAGGATGATGAAGTGTTCACATTCAATTTCAATCTGAATGCGCACCACGAACAAAAAAATGCCACCTATGCATTGAAGAAGACCTGTTCTCCCTCTGTCCCCTGGTCTCCCAGAGAGGTCACCTGTGAGGTGAACTACATGGAAGTAAGCTTGGTTATGTTGTTGAATTTTACTCATGGAATGGATTCATGTGTTACATTATTATGAAATTTTTTTTTTTTCTGTAGGTATCCGTGAGGAGTAAAATTACCTGTCCATCCAGAACAAAGACAGAGACAGACGACTGGAGTGCTTTAAAGCCTGTGCTAGTATGTGTCAAATCAAAAACATGTGCTTCATCGAAGTAAACTGTTTCTAAGATTTTATTTTTTTAAATCAGGCACACAGCTCCACCACTTCAGACTGGCAGGTGATGTTTCAAAGAGCAGGGGCGCAAATGCCGCCTATAACCATGTCTCAAGCTCGGAAGAAGGGCTATGTTTTCGACCTGACAGATGGAAGGCTTGTGTTTCGTACACCGTATGGACAACCGGAGTCATCTAGCACTGAGGTAAACCACTGATGCAGAATGTGTACCTGCAAAGCGTGAGTCTAAATCAGGGTTTAAGCAGTGTCTCTCCAGATGAACGGGGTTCCAGTGGAGGTGGTGCATGCCACTGTGTTCTCCAGACAACGCTGGCTTGTACTCATGGTGGACCTCGTGGCTGCTTGTTCCACACGTGAGCATTAATCATTTTTGTTTTAACTCGTTCTTCACTTTTAAACGAATCAATTTACGATCTTAGTTTTCTTCTGTGCAGATAAAGGGTCACGTGATAACAGCGGTTACGTGATGTGGAAGACTCCGGAGTTGCTGTACCCCAGCCTCGACAGCACACGGATCAGGGTTGGACTCAATGGTGAACTTGAGGAGCGGCCAGTTGCAGAGGCCAAAGGCTACGTTGTGGAGAAGGACAACAGCACAATCCACATCAGCGTCCCTTATAATGCTGACGGAGGACACAGGAAGGTGGGAACACTCATAAGATGTAGATATCATCAATGTAGGTTTGACCTTTGAAGTCTGAAGTACACTTAGTTGTGAGATAAATTCAGGCTCTGCAGATTGGTGACATTTTCCAGGTCATGTCAAAGGTCAAAAAATATATATATATTTTTTTCAATGTCTGTTCAGAACAATGAATGTGAAGAATAGTTTAAACTGGGATGGATTGTTTTATAATGTAGTTTATTCAGGAAGGGAACTATACAGTCAAAGTGAAGGATGTTGGTAAGGCAACAGGAATTAAGGCCATTCTTCATAAGTGGTGGTTCTCAACATAGGGGGCCATGGCCCACTAGGGGGCCACAGAGAGCTGCCAGGGGGGACGTGAGATGGCTATGAGTGAAAAGAAAAATACAAAAAATAATGACAAAATCACGAAACTATCTACAAATAGTCGATCTGTAGTGCTTCATTTGTATAAACTAACAAACAGCCCAATAATAACAAATAGTAAAACTGATCAAAATGTGGTGTCGGGCAGAAACACGGCCGTACACACCATTGGAGGTCCCTGTCATCTGGACCTTGGTATTTTTTTTCCAGTTGTGTATATAAATAAAACTACTTGGAATGACCGACTCTAGTGCTGCATCACTGTAGCAAAACACACAAGAGGGAAAGTCTTTGTGGAATTTTCACTGGACGTAGGGCGTCCTTGGCAGCAGAAAGGCTGAGATCCACTGCATTGAAGTGTTTATATTCAATGCATCAGAGTAATGGCCGTAAATATAGCAGATACAACATTTCTGGTCCATTTGATCAAGCAGCATTTACTTTTAAGCTCGACAAAACACGTCAACACCAGCATCCTATCTGATTGCACGTACAAACTGCGTCTGTTTCAGAGCTTTGTCACTGGGGGCCTCTACGAGTTTTACATGTTCCACCTCTACTTGGAGCAAATCTTTGTGGATGATGATCGCGCAGAGACGATGCTAAGAATTCACAGGATTCTAGTCTCTCCCCTGCTGCCCTGCCTGTTATTCACCGACAACCAAACGGTTCTTGAGGAGCGAGTTTTCACCGTCTACCTTGGAAACATCCCCGAAGACATTGTGTTGACTTCTGTCCACCTGAATGGACAAGAATTCCCGGTGCCTTTTCCAAATGCAAGCAGCTACACTATCATGCAAGCTGTTCAACCTAACAACACCCGCGGTTACACTCTGAAGGTGCCTTTTGATGATCCTGTTGTTACACAGCAGGTAAGACTTTTGAATTATTTGTCTGAGCGGCAACATGGCAGCTTCACCCTGTTTGGCTTAAGCAGGATTTGTATTTCCTGTTTCCTAGGTTTCCAGAAAAGATGCAACTATTCAATACAGGCTGGACATCAATTACACAATGATTGTTGAGTTTTTACGTGAGCCCTATTACCACCTGGCCTCCATCGTGGCTTTGTCCCCATATGTCTGTAAGTCATTCATTTTTAGATATCTACACAGCATTTGCATGAATTTTTACGTTACTGTATCTGGCAGCTCATCCGGCCTTTGATGCCGTCTGTTCTGAGTCTGGGATCAACTTCAAGCTGGACCACCAGCCTTTTGACTACCTGTGGGACATCAGCATCGGCTCAGACGTGTTGACGTCTAAGCTGGCAGCCCAGCATGGCTACATCTTGACAAATGATAGCCAGAGTCTGGTTCTCAACGTGCCGCTCTTCGCTCATGGATATCAGTACGAGGTAAGATGTGGAAATTAATTGATGGATGTTAACACTTTTTCTCAGGGGTTTAGTATTTTGAACATTGAGTAACTAACATGTATTTGTAGAATGTTACTTTGAAGGGATTCTTTGCTACTTTTGAAATCCTTATGAGGAATCGGGACTCATCAGAGGTCCAGACCGCTGTCAAGACATGTCCATTCAACTCTGAACTCATTAGTAAGAACATCCATTTTAACTCAAACAGCAGGTATGGCCTTGTTTATAGTAGACACATGGTAATACTCCTCTCTCTGCAGTGTGTTCGAGTGATGGGAGGATGACGGTGGTGGCTGACTTGTCTCTGGCCATCCCAAGTGGAGGAAGCGCAGCAAGAACCAACCTTATAGATAACAAGTGTGGGCCCAAAGAGGTTGATGGCACCAGAGCACTCTTCTCCTTTCCTCTTAACAGCTGTGGATCCACCATCAAGGTAGAAGTTTAAAATCGTTCCTGTACGACCTGGCAGCCTATTAATTGACTGAAGAGAAATAACTTATTTGTACGTTTCCCCTCAGCTTGGGGTGGAAAATGTGACCTATCAAAATGAGATTTTCTACAACAAGTCGGTTTCTGGTGATGCTACTGGAATGTATGTACCTTTAACCCTCTTTGCTCCTTCAACTACCAATATAGGTTCTATAAATTGTTTCTCCAGTTGATCTGCAGTAATAAAGCCATCCTTGTCTTGCAGCATGCTGGTGCAGTGTACATACCCTCTTGCGAGTCTCCGTCACCTTTTCTTAATGTTCAAATTTGAGTCGGACACAGCCGGTGTCGGCAGCATCATCCGCCCTGCAGGTACAGTCGGTTATTCACTTACCGCACATAACCAGTTATCCCTCATCACAATGACTTTTTTATTTTTTTTAAGCAAAAATATCTTCCCCAGTTCTGCAAAGTTCCACTATCAAACCAACTACGACACTTCAAACCACACCTTCTACCAGAAGTCCAACCAGAAACCCTGTCCAGTTCCGACCTGCCGTCTACCCACCTGCCGTCTACAAACCTGCCGTCTACCAACCCCCCATCTACCGACCTGCCGTCTACAAACCTGCCATCTACCAACCTGCCGTCCACCCGACTGCTCGTTACATCAAAGTTACCAGGAAGCATCGTTTTTTTCGTATTTAGGATGTAAGGTCTCACTTCACTTTTTTTTTTTTTTTTCACATCTCTTCACAGGAGCTGAAAGATTCTAACAAGCTAAAATAAACATTGTCAAAATATAGTATTTTTAAATCGTGTTAAAATGGAATTTAATAAAGCTGTTTCTTAAAAATGGTGTGTAGACTTGCCAACACTGCTATGCAAACAAATGGTATTGTAGACACAGGAAGTTAGTACACTAATGTAGTAGAAGTAACAGTACTTATTCCACTTCACCATCTGTCAGCTATATATTAATTTCGTTGCTGGATAAGAGTTTAAAATAAACCAAACAAAAGGATGTTAATGTTGGCTCCACCTTTACCATTTGACAGTTTGACCAGTTACATCGTGCTGTTTTTAGGAAGGGATATTCTTTCTGCTTTCTATCATTTTGCTAGTTTTTTGCTGATTTGTTGTCCCCTGTCTTAATTGGCATTGTTTAGTGGAGTCCATAGATTCTACAGAGCTCTTGAATGAGACATTTTCAGGGCTCAGGTTAAGACTTTCTGTCCTTACTGCTGATTCCTGCTGCTGCAGCTGGCTCTCATCTTTCAGGTGCAGTTCTCTGGCAAAGAATTATGTCTCTGTAAGTATACGAAAGAGTGACTAGCTGTTGCTGCTGATGAAACACTCAATTTTAAAAAATTAAAATAGTCTGCTACAGGATGGTCTTAGCAAACTAACAAATGAATACAGCTGATTGTGTTGCATTTGTTTCCAGGGTCTTATATGAAACTTGTCTGGTGTTAATATGCAAAAGGGTGCAAACTAAAAAGCTACCTGAACTGTCATAATGGTGGGAAACTTGCTCCTACACACATGCTTTGAAGGATTCTGTTGAGACTGGGTTTGTGCAGGAGGTTGTTGGACTTGTGAGTCTTCGGCTGAAAGGTGATTGTCTACAATCTCCCACCCTGTGCTCCTCCAGCACCCTGAGGTGTGTCAGAAAGATTGTAGCTGTGACGCATTTCAAAGTCAAAAAATGTTGATATTGCCATTATATTTTAAATAATCTGTCATGTATACATGGATAGCACCCATTTCACTTTGGACAACCCTCCATGCATCCGTTTGCACTGTTGCATGGTTATTAACGTTCTCTCTCCAGAAACTAAATGCACAAGAAGATATTGTGTAGAATAGAAATTTATGGGAAATTTATATGCCACAGCAGTGTCCAAAAATATAGAAAGTACAAGAAAATAATTCAGTAATATGCATCCTGGTGTCCGCACACAGCAGGTCCAAGGCCCCACCGTCTCCGGCTGGGCAGTCCACATACTGGCTGGATGTGGGGAGAGTGATGTATGATTAAAGTCTCCTGAGATGACGATCAGAGACTGTGTAGGAAGAATAAATGAACTAATCTGTGTTGCAAGTAAATTTTATAACTAATATAAGCTCAGGGCAACTTCACAGGATTGGAAAACTGCAGAAAAAGTGTGATTTAAGGCTTAACTAATGTTTTAGAAAAAATATATATGCTCATCAGTCAAATGCACACTCAATCCACCAGGTGTCGCTAGTAAAACACGGGAGAGAAAAAAAGATTCTACTCTCTTTTTTTTTTTTTTTTTTTTAAACAACCCAAAAACATCTTTAAACACCACGTGAATCAGCTTTGTTCCTACTTTTAATCTCCTGCTGAAAAAGTGAGCGATCATGAACGTAAGTTTTCTATTTGGACCTCAAACTTTACTTTGACGACTCATGCAGGTCCTACACGGTGGGGATGGTGGTTTTAATCAGCTGTTTCTCCTCAGACCCCCACCAAGACAGTCCTGCCCTCCATCTCCAACAGGACCCTGCGCCACCCCTCCTTCCTGCCTCTTTACGCGGCTGCAGGTTTTACGCACCAGCGTCAGAGCGACATCCACACAAGTGAGACACTTTTAACTGCTAGTGCATCGAGAAAAAGTGTAATATTTTTCCTAAGTTATTTAAGAAAGTGAAAATGTATTATATTCTGGACTTATTGCACGTAAAGGGAAATATTTCAAGCCTTTGTTTTGATTTGGATGATTATGGCTCATGAAAGTCAGAAATCCAGTGTCTCAAAAAATGCTTTTTAAGCAAATAAAATAAAGCCTTGAGAGGATTGTTAAGTTAATTGAAGGACTTTGGAGAGCTTTACAAGGATGTGTGTGAGTGCATCAAGAGTAACCAAGTGCTGATATCTTCAGGAAAGGGGTTAGAACTGTTGCTTTTCTAATATCAAACCACAAACCAGAGGATCGATCAGAAGCATGTCACCTGGGCTAAGGACAAAAAAAAAAAAGAAATGCACCAAAATCCTCTTTTCAGATGAAAGTAAATTTAGCATTTAATTTGGAAATGAAGATCCTAGAGTCTGGAGCAAGAATGCAGAATCCAAGGTGTTTGAAGTCCAGGGTGACCTTTCTGCCATCTGTGATGCTTTGTGGTGTCATGTCATCTGCTGGTGTTGGTCCACTGTGTTTTTATCAAGTCAAAAGTCTATGCAGCCGTCTACCAGGAGACTTTAGAGCACTTGATGCTTCCATCTGCTGACAAGCTTTCATGGAGAGCCAAAACTACGACCAAATAATTTACTGACCATGGTATTACTGTGCTTGATTAAAATCACCTGACCTGAACACTACAGAACCCTATACGCCAGGGGTGTCGAACTCCGGTCCTCGAGGGCCACAATCCTGCATGTTTTAGATGTTTCCCTCTTCCAACACACCTGATTCAAATGATCAGGATCATTATCAGGCTTCTGCAGAGCTTGATGATGAGCTGATCATTTGAATCAGGTGTGTTGGAAGAGGGAGACATCTAAAACTTGCAGGATTGCGGCCCTCGAGGACACCCCTGCCATACGCGGTCCTGTCCAGGGAAAGATGAGAAACACCTGACTCAAAAATACAAAACAAAGCAGCCTGGGCTTCAGTAAATCCTCAGCAATATCACAGGCTGATCGCCCTCATGTTACGTATAAATAAACATACTTTTCAGGAGTTGTACATTTCTGCATTGTAAATCTTTTTTTTTTTAAATTGATCTTAGGAAATAGTATTTTTAAATACTGGATTTCAGATTTTCATAAGGTAAAAGCCATAATTGTCAGAACTAAAACAAAAAAAATGCTTGAAGTATTTAAACAACTGATGGAAAATATTAAACTTTTTCACAATGTTATAAGTTTTTAAGAACATCCTAGACAGTGAAAGGCAAGCCTCATCCAGCTGCTCTTTGATGATTCTGTGTTTTATCCTCAGTCCATCCCCTCATCCCTGCAGAGATCTTCTACACTGACCCCGGTCTACCCCGTGGGAGGAGGATCCCTAATTTACCAAGTGGGTTGAGGGTAAGTAAGCACTTCATAGCCAAAAATGAGTTGCCATGGAGATTCATATACCAGGGATTTAGTCTCTGGGTAGCAAAATAAACACACTTTAAATTAAGTTTGTCTTTTCATCCTAAATGTAATAAAGTTTTTCAGATCCATCTTGATAAAAACACAAAATTCCCACACAATACCAAAAGTCTATCACTTACAGTTCTTATGATATTTTATGGTGCAATTAAGTATATCTTGTAAATATGTTGCCAAAGTCAGTCCTTTTTCCTTATGTCTCAAATTTAAAAACCTTAAAAACTTTCCTAATTGTGCTTTTTTTTTTTTTACTTATTAAAATGTTATTCTGGTGTGTTTTTATTGTTAGGATGCTATTGTTAGGAATACAGTTTTAAATAGACTCTAGACCATGATGCCTGTACAGACTGTAAATTTAAGTCAATGCTTAAGTGTAACACATGAAAAGTTAATTCCGTCTTCTGTGGATGGATTGAGTACAGGTTGGGGGCGGTGAAGATGGCAGCCTGGTTTCTTTGCTCTTTTGGGGAGTGGATGTGTAGAGGGTAGAGCTTATGGAGGGGCTCAGACAGACGAAGAGGTTTAATAAGATTGGCTCAGTCCTTTCAGACAGAGCTAAGACCCTAAACCAAGGGGATTGAAAGAAATTGAGACCAAGGACAAGGAGGGGGCAGTGTGTTTTCACTGTCATGGCATCACAACAGCCATACATGTGGGGAAAAATAGTTTTTAAAAGCCAAACAAGGCGATAATTTTTGCAATTGCGTCCCATCTAATTACACTAAAAAATAAATTTCAGGTATTCGATTGCTCCCGTCTCAACACTCCACCACCCATCATGTCCGCCTGCCCGGTGCCACCAAACCGTCCAGACCCGTTCAGATCTGGACCGCACCCCACCAGAGACCTGGGCAGTTCCACATGGAGAATACACAGCACAGATTCTCTGCCCAGACGGGTTGTCATCCAGCTTACCCAAGAGGAGGACCAGGCCATTACTAACCTGCTGAAACTGCACTATCAAGAGTCACCGCAAAGAGAGGAGGCCGCTGCACAAATGAACTTTTGCGATGTTGTCGAGCCACCAGTCAACTCGAACACCGGCCTGCCACCCCACAAGCCCGTCTACGTGGATGTGCAGAGTCCGAGGGAGGCTGGCTGTACCTAAAACATGGGCTCCAACAGTTTTAGTTGAGAACAGGAGGTAAGTGTTGTTGAAGACAGTGTGGCTTTATCTTTAACACTGAGGTTGACCTCAAATTCAAAAAGCAGATAAAGTGTTTGTGGATTCTTTTTTTTTTTTTTAAATTGAACTGACAAACACTTTTAGTTTTGGAAGAGGATGCCGAGCATGTGGTCCTTAACCTTTGAGATGTGGAAACTTTGGACACTGCGACACTTGATAATGGAAACTACTACTTTTGTTTTGCACTGGCTTCTCAGAAAAACCTTTAACCTGAATGGCACTGAGCCAGCATTCTTATTTTTTCTGGAATGAGAATTTATTTTCTCACTCATGTTTGCATTGTTCAGTAGAAAAATGTTAAGCCTCGGTTACGGGGAAACAAACACGTAGCTAAAAACATGTGAAGTTTTTTATTAAAAGTACTACTACTCATAATTTACAACACATTTACAATTTATCCACAAATCACCAGTCGTCACTGACATCAAGCTGCAGGGGGCGCTACAGTACAGTTTTACTCCACGGTGGCTACTGACGCAAGCTAACGAGCTAGTCAACAGCACGACTACTGAAAAAAGGCAGTACAGCTCCGGCGACATTTACATGCAAAGCTCTTGTGCTTAATATGTTCATGACACAAGTCTCGGTGTGCAGTTCAAGCAAAGGCACTACCTGATCTGTAAAAGGTTTGTTTCCTGTTGAGATAGACTGTTACTGTTAACACTGTTGTGAGTCAAGTTTTTAGTTATTCCAAATATTCTGTATTCCGGTCACCTGAGTCACACGTGGCAGGTTGTTGTTCAGGAATGAGAGGATTTCATTCTAATGTGATACCGAAGGTGTTTACCGCAACACCCAGCTCTTTTCTTTCCACAACGTACAGTCTGCTCGAGCGATGTCTAGAATGTTTGGCATGTGAGTTTGTCAGTTTCGAAGAAGTCCAATAATGCGGCACTACTTGGAAGAGGTGACAACATAGCTTCTTTGTTTTGAGTGGCTGTAGTGTACAGTAGCGTAACGAATATGATGACTGGAGTTCTGGTGGGATGTTTTATGAGAGTCAGCCTTCTCCTTTCTTCTTTCATTTCCTTGTTCTTAGAAACACTTGAACGAATAAACTCCCCAAATAATCAATCCTCTAAAAAGTCCGTCTCTGTTTATTGTCCTTGTTTTTCAATGTAAACATCTTCAATCCATAGATCCTACTGAATGGTGCTGGCCTTGCTGTTAGCAACCATGCTGGCAGCCTGGATGACCCTGTAGCGCTCTCGGATGTTCCTCCTCCTCACGTGCTCATTGGTGATCTCGATGACGTTCGCTATGGGGAACCAGCCCTTCTGACCGTCGGACAGGCGGTTCCCTTCGTACCAGCCTGGAGGACAAAGAGAAGGACCGGGAGGACGGTAGGGGAGGAGGACAGACAAGTGGGAAAATTGGAGGTTTCTGTGTCGTTCATGCAAGAAATGTCAAAACAAATCAATAAACTGCTAAAGTGGAGGGTTGAGGATTGAGGCAGTTATGGGGATCAGGGTATATAAACAAGCAGAGTTGAAGAAGGAAGCATGTCAGTGATAGAGTCATGTCAGGACACTGGACTTGTCTATTGCATATATTATGACAAATACAGCAAAAAGACGCAGCGATATCAACATGAGCAGATTCAGCTGCAGTGGTATGTTCACAATCCCTACTGTTACAATCTTTTCGGCCGTCATTTTACATTTGGCTGCTTGTTTCCGTGATCGATAAGCAAAATCAGGATTCCCTGCACGTTCTTACCTTCGTTGGTTTTGCGGATGACGTTGATGATCTCAGTGGGCTCCAGGGTTAACTCGTCTGCTTGCTGGGCAATGTACTGCTCCACACACTGCACCTGAGGACAGTCTAACACACACACACCCATTCGTAAGAATTTATTGATATAAAATAGTGTCATTTGGTGGGCATCGTGTGTGTCCTCACCCCAGTCCTCATAAATCACTTCATCATCATCTCTGTCTGGGTTGGTGGGGTTGGGGAAAGCGGCCATCCACCTGTGCATGTCTGACCTGTTGACAGAAACAGCTAAAGCTTTAAAACAACAATGTAAAAAGGGGCCTCATATTCAGAGGGCCAACACCTGAAGCCTTCATGTTGCACTTCTATTGTTTTTGTTTAGTTGGCAATAAAGATTGTTGCTGAAATAAATCCCCTCAAAGTCCCACTAATGTATTATATATCTGTCTGTTATTTGACTGTGCAGTTTATCTGCGATCTTTGGTAACAGTTAAATTGCTGTTATGAGAGGCAAATTTTAATTTACAGCTATGCAGACTTACTTGATTGAATTGGCACTTGCACTTACTGCAATACAAATCAATGCTAAACAAGAGAGGCCGTCACTAGTAGAGTCAAGTACGTATTCTCACACAAACCTGCACACACAGTGACACACAGTGAGTACTCACTGGGAGGGAGCTTTAAAGAGCCGCTCCATCGTGCGCCCCTGGTGGTTTTCTAGCAGCGTGAGGTTGAAGCAGTGCTCGTAAGGGCCGCCGCTGCTTCCGCCTTCATCTATTGGCTGCACCTGCACCAGGGAGCGATGGGCGTGGTCGACTACGACGAAACGCTCGGCGCTGTTCGAGGAAACACAGACGAAAGTAAAAGGTACATTAAGGGCAAAGTATTGCAGAAGGGAAGCTGGAATGTGTTACTGGCACATGAAAAAACACGCATCTTTTCTCTTCCTCTAAATTTTACAATACATTTGGCATCACTTCCTGTTCCAACTAAGGAAGTCATTTCGCACGTTGTGACTTGTTTGGGGAGTCAGTTTCATTTTTACTCAGTGGTCACATTCGTCTTTGTTAAAGGGACATGACGACAGCGAAAGTGATTTTGAAATATTCAGCCAAGCAGGGAAGTGAGTGCACAAATCATTCCCACCTTCCCCTTACTTATTAATACCGTTTTGCATACATGGTGGCTAATGTATGATCTTCAAGTAAAGTGCTTCACCCTGGGGTTAGTAAATAACCTTAGCTTACAGAATAACATACAAGGCAAAGTGGGTTTTATAACTGTTATTTTCAAGCAGCTGAGTGAACACTTTAGCGCTAAGTTGTGTAATTGTTGGCATTTAGGTGCCCAGTTGCCTCTAAACTATAATCAAAGATGCCTAATTGTGTAGGGCACAGAGCACTAGTGCAGTGTAATATATTGATTAAGTTGATAATATATTATGTGGCTCACTTTGTTCACAGTACATTATTATAATGTGATAAAGGCAGCTTTTCTCTGCTCAGTAGCGTGACTAGAGTCCATCAACGTCAGCTTCACGTAAAGATTCTTAAAATTCAAATAATAAACGTCTAATGATTGATCAGCCGCCAAACCTGACAACAATTCATTTTTTATGTAATTGCCGCAATACACATTTATAGAGACTTATGTGAGATCATTTTCGATATCAGTCAGTTGCCTAACCCCTTCTTGACGGCGATGACGAGCAAATCGTTGAAAAGGAAGAGGTGGACGGGAATGAACTTTGCCCTCATGTTGAAGAGAGTTCCTCCTTTGGACATTTCCTGGAGCTCTCCCTTCTTCTCCAGATATCGATTCTGAGAGATGATCGGGATGGCCTGACGAGGACAGGTGGAGAGAAATGTTTACCTCTTTTAAGGAATGACGTAACTGAAATACAAACTAAATGATAACAAAAAATCTAAAATTTGAGTTTACCTTGAGCTTGTCAAACTCCAGCGTTTTAGAGACAAAAATCAGCTCCTCCATCTGTCTCATCTGTCCCACCTGTCTGTTGCACTCGTCCATAGTCTGAAAAGAGGTGATGTTATGAAATCAGCCAAGAGATCATTTTTCCTTTTCATGCCATCCGTGCTTCACTGGGTGTATCTTGACTCCCAGACTCTTTGAACCTCAGTGACAGGAATGACTCAGTGCCACAACAGAACTCATTCAGGAGGAAATCCTTCATCTAGACAATAGCTGACGTCAAGTTTCAAGAGCCGTGTGAAGCACCTGAAAGGCGAATGATATGAATTTGCAGGCAGGGAGGAGGGTGAAGAGTGAGGCCTGTTTACCTTAGACACGGAAGCCAAAGCCTTGGAGGCTGTCTGCTCCTCTTTCGTCCCCTCCTTTGTTCTCCTCAGGATGTTCTGAAACGACAAACAACAACTTTCTATTTCTGCAACGGACAAACAGCATCAGAGGGGTATATTTTTCCACCTGAGGTCGTAAGGTCGAGGCGAGGTGTATCTGTGTGTTTGCTCCTAGGTCAAAAGGCAGCGAGGAGTTTGAGCGGGGACTATTACTCTGGAATGAGGACATTCCACGCAGCCAAACACCATGATGAAGTCAGACTATTGCCTTTCAGTGGCTTGTAGATGGAAAAGAAAAGGGTCAGTCATGCACAATGTACTGTGGCATTTTGTTGGCCACTTAAGCGAAATATTTAAACCTTGTGCAAGCTAACTTCATTGTTGCCACTCTCCAGTAACATTAAGACACTGAACTCCTGAGCTTTTTTCCAAACAAGTATACCTCCGCAATCACACGTAGCACTCGTACGCTGACTACAACATATTTAAATATGCATTTATTTTCTGATTGGATAATACCGTCAGTCTTGGCCTTACAAAGACCCCAAATAAATCTGTAGTTTGGGTCTTTGTTTTCCACGTGTGCTGTTTTCCTGTTACAAGTGTCTATAGTTATGTTACTACAAATATGCTTCAAGGAAGAAAGTAACATTTTGGATTATCAGAAGACTGATACAACTCTAACTCCATACTAATCATGCAAGGAATCTAGATCTCCTCTTTTGTCCATTTGCAGGCTTTAGAAAATATAGCGTGCGACAGGAGATTTCAGCCAGTTGTACATCTTTTCTCTCAGAGTAGATAAGGTCGTATTAATAGCAACAAAGCTCACGTCCGAATCAGGGTGTGGTGTTAAAATTTAAAAAGATTCGGTGTTCAGGAAACTCGCCGATCAACATGTACCGTGTCTTGTTTGTGTGTCAAGACACAAACGGAAATATCGGCAGGCGTTTTCTATCAGGTAGCAGGCGGGCTGCCTTCTCAGTGTTGGTTGAGATTCTAACGATACCTTTGGAACAATGATTAGTGTTTCTATAATATTCTCCTAAAAACAAAGGTATAGTGTGATCTAAATGTAAGCTCATAACGGGAACAAATGGGGGGTGGATTACGCACAGAGCCAGCCTGTGTTTTTCTCCTGCTTTCAGTCTTTATTCTAAGCTAATCCCCTCTTGGCTGTATTTACTGTTGCCATTGTGTTCTTATTGTTTCTGTTTTATTCATTCTTTTACTTGTATTTATTTATACTGGCATTTTGCATCTTTTGTCCTTTTGTTATAGCTTCATCTCAGTTTTATCTTAATTTTGTTTGATGTCTGGCTTCCTTTCGTTGTTTTGCCTTGTGTATATCCTGCTCATTCTTTTTTCTGTCAAAGCACTTAGTAAACTCTGTTTCAAAAGGTGCTATGCAAAGCAGAAAAACTTCTACATCAGGATTTATCGAGTAATCTCGTGACGCTGCTTACCTCAATAAGCATTTTAATGCGCGTTATTCGTTGAAAGGGCAGCAGTAAGAAGGACATAAAGGGCAGCCGCTGGCACTGAGGTGACTCTTGAAGACGAGTGATGACTGCAGCAAACTGGACGTTGTTCTTCCTGTAAACAAACGAGACAACTGTGAGAACAACGATCACTTTTTGCATAAGTCACAATTAAAGGTCAGATATGGTGAAAATCCATGAATACATTTTACTTGTGCTGTTCCTCAACCTGCCAGATTTACAAGTCAGTGAGACCAAATGAACCAGTAGCCATCTAGTTCAAACTATGTACAGTCCTGCCCCTTCACTGCCCATTGCTTCCGGCAGCTGTCTCACAGTGCACCAGGCTTATTTACTTCCTGGATCTGCTCTCTTTCTGCAGGAGTGAACACAAGAAACTTCATGCACCCCCAGCCTCTGAGGAACTGAGGATCCAGTGAATTATTATTGATGCCAATGTCTCCACAACACTGAGAAAATCCAGAGTGCTTGCGTTGTGCCGCTAATGTAGCCAGCATTACCATTAGCTTTGATCAGTGGAAACGGTAATGCTGCGCGACATATATCACTACTTGTGCTGCAGCGCAACCTACACTTAGCAAGTGTTTAAATCTGACTGCTTCTCTCCTGCTCCCTGTGCACACACATATACTATATTTCAATACAGCCATATTCCCAATAAAGCTGCTCTAATTGACATGTTTTTCTGTTTCTGTTGTCAGACGACAGAGCGAGCATGAAAAACGCATCCCATTAAGACTACGTTTTAACTGGTGGTCACTTCACAGTTATTTCCAAGCTGCACCGGCTCAGCATGTTTATGAGTTAAAGAAACTGCTGTATTGTCAGCTCAGCAGTTGGTCAGCCTGTTTAGAACAGCCGAGGTTTTACAGTCGTGCTGAAATGACCCATCTTTGCAGTATTTTGAGCTGAAATACTAAAAGACACACTCTGGGGACATATATTTTATAAGTTTGCGGAAAAGTGGCACAATATGGGATCTTTAAAACCTATCCATCTTTAGAATCTTCTATATTATCTTTGCTTTAAACCTTCAATTACATCCTAAGATATGATAGATAAGAGATAAGATAAGAAGTCAGGCTGCTGTGTCTTACATGAGTGTAGTGTAGGTCTTTTCCTGGTAGATCTGGTTGCGAACGTAGTCAATGTAGGCGGGGAAGTTGTGCTGGGCATGGTAGTGGATGATGTCACAAATGTCAGAGAAGACTAGTTCCTTGAATATGCGGTCCTCAAGGTCTTTCAAAAACCTGTGGCATCAGACAACAAAGGTTTAAACTTCTAGAAAACTGCAGCCAAACTGTTTTCCCCTGTAGGACAAACCTGATAAATCATAAAAAGACAGACTTGTTTTGTTTTTAAACACCACATGGCCACATGATTCAGAAATGTATTACTTCTCTGTTCTATTCTATTTCTTGGTATTTTTCATTACATGACCCTGTGGCACTTCAAGTCATAAATCACCGTACAATTTCCCATTTCCTTTATCTCCCTTCATCCTTCCTTTTGCCACTGCTTACCTCTCGCTGACCTCGCGAACCCTCAGGATGTTGGAGAATAGTGTTTTCTTGTCCCTGATGATCATTGTCTCTTCCAGCTCCCGGCTGTCCAGGAAATGTTCGGTCAGGACTCGCAGCGATCGCAGATAAGAGGCCTCCGATGTTAGAACCTCAAACATACTCTGCCAGGAAGAAAATAGACAATGTTTTACACATACAGGATAAAGCCAATTTGTTTCCTCCTTTTTTATTTTTTTTAGTTTTCCTGCTTATACCAAATGTAAGATTTTTCACACTCCAACAAAAATGCAAGTCTCTTTTCTAAGAATAAAAGTGCTCTTGGTTTATTAAAAAAAAAACACCATCAACTACATAAAATGTGTTTTTCAGGGAGACCCAGGATGCCACACAATTCATATCTAAAAGGGTAAAAGAAAAACAGGTGACCCATTATATCCCATATAAGATATGCAACAATGAATTGATTAGTTGCCAACTATTAAAACAATCAGCAGCTATTTTGATGAGAAATTCTTTTAAGAAAACAAAAGTACAAATTCTTTCAGACCACTTTCTGGCATTTTATAGATCAAACAAGAAATCAATAAATTAAGAAAATAATCATCAGATAATTGCACAATGGAAAGAATTGTTAGTTTCAGCCGTATTGGCAAGGTTTTGCCTTAACAATTCTGCAGAACATCCACAGCTGGAATTCGGTATGAGAGCAAATAAAAATGTTTTAAAAACAAATGTTTTAGAGATTCTTCCCCCTAAATAGTATGGTTTCTGCACTGTTTTTTGCAAACTAATATATTTCAACAACTGCACTGGCAGGTGTCGTCATTTGATGAAGTATGTCAGAGACACATTATTCATAAAATCTTAAAATGTTCATTCAAACCTTTCATTTATTCCTTATCTGTTTCTATTCTTAAATTAAAGCCAAAAAATGACTTGGCTTTTTTGCAAGCGCTTCATTACTTTTATATGTTGTCTCTCTCCCTGAGATTGGTTGAGACTAAGGTTCCTGGTGACGTTTAAACCAGAAACATTATGGTTAGATGGGATCTGTTCTAAGAAGTTGACACCAGAACGCTTCCACAACTACCAACTAATTTCCACCCCACAAAAAAGCTGTTCCTGCAGCTAAAAATACATCAATCCTGCACTTCAAAGGATTTCTCTCCTGGAAAAAGTTCTGCCTAATGTTGGAAAGTTGACACTGTAAGTGTAAGAGCTTTTATAAACTCCATACAGAGTGAATCGATATGATATTACAGCAATGAGTAATACAGCGAGGCAGAATTACTGTAATTTATATAATTATGCTTTAAGATGTGATTTAAAACTTGATGCTACATCTCCCCTTTCTCCTCTCAGCTTTATTGATTTTGCTTTATGGTTCCTCTCCTCTGTGCATTAGCCTCTCCTCCCTCTCCAATCTTTAAACCCCTCACCTCCTGGTACTTGCACTGCTCAGGAGTGAGCTGCTCCAGCACTCCACTGTCCCGTACAGCCGGGAGGTCCTGCCACAGGGTGCTCTGGCCTGGCGTGGGCACAGGGCTGCCCCTGGGTGCTCCATTTCCGGCAGCAGTCCCAGTCCCAGAGCGTCGGGCGGTCCAGTCCATAGCATAGTCTGCACTGGTTTTGCTGATGTTACGGCAAACTGTCTGGCGGCGGATCTCCTTTGTGATGACGGTGGCACGGTACGTCTGGTACAGAGGCTCTGAGGGGGAATAAGTCAACCGTATTTGAGATGCAGAAAAATATTTGATAAACACAAACACAAATCACTTTGACTTAAGAAAACTGAATGTACACTCTGGTGTTTGTTGCTTGTATAATCAAACCCAACCCCAATATTTAAATGTAAACGTAGTTCTGTTTTTACTGTTTGTAGCATTGTTCTCTTTGGTACTCGTAGATAATACACTGAACAAAAATATAACTTTTGTTTTTGTTCCCGTTTTTCATGAGCTGATGGCTTCTGGTAGAGAAATGAATTTTCACTTCATGGGCCACAGCTCTGGTGGACATTCCTGCAGTCAGCATGCCAACTGCACGCTCCGTCAAAACTTGCGACATCTGTGGCACTGTGCTGCGTGACAAAACTGCATATTTTAGAGCGGCCTTTTATTGTGGCCAGCTGAGGCAATAATCATGCTGTCTTGTCAGCATCTTGATATGCCATACTTGTGAGGTCGATGGATTATCCCGGCAAAGGACAGGTGCTCACTAACACAGATTTAGACAAATTTGTGAACAATATTTGAAAGAAATAGGCCTTTTGTGTACATAGAAGAAGTGTTAGATCTTTGAGTTCAGCTCAAGAAAAATGGGAGCAAAAACAAAAGTTGCTTTATATTTTTGTTCAGTGTAGTTCAAACTTATTTGAATTAATACTTAGAAGTTAATGGATTGACCAACTCAATACCCATATAGAAACAGGGTTACTACATGACGCATGCGATGTCCTTACATGTTATAATAATAATATATATTGTAAGCACACCTATAAAGTAATTTTTTTACTGTTTTTACACATTCATGTCTTGGTATTCAGATAAAGATAACTCTCTCCATCCATTTTACTTTATTCACAACAGTTTTATAGCTGCTCTCTACTAAAGGGTTTGAACGGCAGCCATTTCTATATGATACTTTCTAAATTGCAACACTAGATTGTGCTGAGTTATACAAATAGCCTAATAAATTGGAAACCGATAAATGATCTTGTCATCATTAATCCAATTAGTCTATATTGTTTACTGGCAGAATCTAGTCATATGAATGCTTGTTGAAACTGGAGAAAAAAGTGAAACGTTTTCATCATACAGGGGAAAATGGAATCCTTTAATTGCAGGCAAACAATGTGGCTCATACTGCAATACAACAACAAATATGATCCATGGCTGACACACTGATACTATATCCTTTCCAAAGTGTTCATATGATACTCTAACTGGCCTGATTTGTCTTTGTTCCTTATGTTTCCTATTGTTACAAGTGTCATTCTTACCATCCGGCAGGCGGGATTCCCATATGAATGAAATCTCCCTCCTGAGAGAGTCTCTTCTGACTGGGCACCTGAAAAAGGAAGTACGGAAGGAGATCAAGAATGACATTCAAAACAAACACAGCTGTTGATTCCTAAATGTTCACAGAAACAGTGATGATGACTTTAAACACAAAGCTTTTGAATTATTTTGTCATATAAAGACCCAAACCAACAATGTGTCTCTACTAACGGACCTCGTGCAATTACAGGGACTATTTTGAGCTGTGGATTAACAGCTCAAAAAAATTGGTACTAGAGAGTAATTTATGGCTTCAGGTGAACATTTAGAAAAATATGTCAACTCACACTTCTTCCCCTGCGTCTTCTTTCTCTCCTTCACCCCCTCCATTCTCCTCTGATGTAAAAAAACAAAAACAGACAAGTAAATGACATAGCTTCTGATTATACATATGTGCATCATTTATAGCCCATCTCAGCCACAGATAATAATGTTTGTTCAGCACAGACCTTTTTTCTGTGTAAGGGATTGCAGTGAGGCACTGCTGAGTCTCCTGGGGTCTGTCTTTGGTGCTGGAGGAGGGGCTCTGCGGGGCAGGAGTGGGCTGGTTGGTGGTGGTGTGATGGCTCGCTGAGGGCTCAACCCGCTGGCAGTGGAGCCGCTGGGGGAGGAGGGTCGCAAGGAGCGCCACTCCTCCTGTGTGGGCTGGGGGAGAGGGATGCCACCTCGGTGCACTGGCGTGAGGCTATGGCTGTCCTGAGCCACAGGCATCCTCGGCGGGATGGCAGGCGGGATGTCGGCTACGCTCGAGATGGGGTCTGTGTTCTGAAAGTCCGATGTGGGATCTGAGGTGCTGTAGGACAGTTTAGACCGCCGGGCCGGTTTGCGCACTTTGATCAAAGGAATATCCAATCCTTTACCCACAGGTGTGATCTGTTTAGGAGTGGGGTCAACCACTGGAAGTGTGGCCTCGTAAATGTTTTCCTCCTCGCTTAGATCAGGTATGTGGTGGACCGGAGGTAACTGAGAACACTTTGGAGGAACAGGAGGAGACTGAGAGCGAGTGACTGCAAGAGAGGTGAGGACAGTCGGAGGTCCCGGGTCCGATCGCCTCCTATGACCCTCAGCGATCAGAACACCTAAAGATTGATGGAACTTCATTTTTTCTTGTTTCGAGACCTCGTTCTCATCAGTCACAGAAGTCCTATCCGCCTCGTCCCCTGCCTCACTGTCCCCTTCCCCCGCTCGCTCTACCTCCTCATCCTCCCATTCCCCCTCATCCTCCCATTCCTCCCCATCCTCCGCCCTCTGCTCTCCCACGTCAGTCTCGTCCTCCTCTCCACTTATAACCTCCTGCCCGTCATCTTCCAGGACCACAGGTACCCATATGAGTTTCATGCCAGGTCGCTGCAGGTGGCACACGCAGCTGCAGCTCGGGTCGCAGCAGGTACTGAGAGGCGAGTCAGGGCTGTGCTCCGCCTCCACTTCACCTCCTCCAATCAGATGAACCTCCACCTCCTTTCCATCAGGGGCTGCATCAAAAAGAAAAAAACACTGTTTTAAAATTTTTGGAATGTGGGAGAAAGCAAATCATTGGAAACTTATTTTGCATTTTGTCTTTATGTTACTTATGTTTCTAGGCTAACACACAAAGCTAATGGGTGTAAATGAACTCCTTCCTGTCCACTTCTTTCCTACATGTGTTTACCCAGATAGGATGGTTCACTTTTATTACAAGCTTTTTTTTTTCCATCTGCTCTTATCATAACAGCTCCACATGGCAAACGCTGTACTGTTGAGTCAGCTGTTCATCACTATGCAAATACAGCACTTTTGAAAGTGGTATCTTCAAATATTTATGGAAAGTTCGGAGCAATGCATGGTTAAAATCCAATATTGACAAAAGGAAATGGAAGAGGTGGTGGAAAGAGTGCGGGGAATAGGATGATGGTTAAATGGGTAGGATGAAAAAGCAAAAAAAAAAAAAAGAGGACAGAGCAGACGTTTTTCAAAAACCTAAACCTTTTTACAAATAGATTTTTTATGCCATGCTCGAGACTCCAACGATGCAAATGTCAGTCCAAAGAGAATATTGTCTTTAAAAGCTGATATCAATCAATACTGAAAGCTTGCAACAGATATATTCTTGCTTTTGGTTTCTGACAGGGAACCAAAACAGGGGAAGTGGTAGCGTGACTGAGGAGGAAACTCACAAATTTCCAGTCATCCACTTGGACTGAGAAGATGTGGATATCTGTGGATTTGAACGACTATGAAATGCCCCGTCATAAGTCTCGCCTTAACTTAGGTCAAAATTTTCACTACTGATATTCCCATTACCTCAACTGTACTTTGTGTTTAGTGTTAGCAAATACTGCTGTTCTAAACAGCTAAACTAAGACGACAAACAACGTCGACATTGTGCCTGCTAAACGACAATGTGTAAACTGTCTCACTTATTAACATGTGCTGACTTCAGTGTTTAACGCAGAGTACTGCTGTGCCTCAATGCAGACTCACAGCCCAGTCAAAAGGTCGAAGAGCGGTTGGATTCTAACCTGGGCCACTGCAATAAGCACAAATCGTTAGTACATGGTGCCCACGCTCGTCAAGAAGAGCTACCAGGGCATGTTAAGTTGCAACCCTGCTTGCTCCAAAGAGAATAATGTCTTTAAAAGCTGATATCAATCAATACTGAAAGCTTGCAACAGATATATTCATACTTTTGATTTCTAACAGGGAACCAGAACAGGGGAAGTGATAGTGTGACTCAGGAGGAGACTCACAAATTTCCACTAAATCAGACCACCAAACAAATGCTGCTTCTTTAGGGTTGTCTTTTGTTGAGGCAGCACCATCATATCCGATCATCGTGGCACAGCAAGGAACACCCAACATCAATGACTCACAGTTGCACAGTTACCAAGAAACAACAAGTGGTAGATACAATTCTACAGAAATTACAGATATTAACACTTGTGTATTGTGTCTTTCTACTGCAAGTAAAAACAGCCAGCTTTACTTCCTGCTTTCATAATATTCAGTTTTAGGTGCAAGCACACACAGGTGATGAGCTGACTGACCTGTTTCTGGCTGTTGGAACAGAAAAGCCAGCGGCACCACACCTGTTTGTTGAGAAATCAGTAACGACGCTGTACATTTAACGTTCAAACCAAACACTGCAGACACACACTCATATGAATGAGGTCTCTACGTGCACACACACTTTTTTTGCATGGCATGATAAATGTCCAACGTTTCAGGTTTGATCTAAAACTGCACTCAGCCTTTTGTCTGGTAAAGTGGCCTGCAGGTTGTGTGTGAGGCTGTCAGAGGATGAGAATAAAAATATGATTTACAGTGTCATCTGATCTGAAAGTTGCAATGAGTAACTTCAACTGTTGGCAAAAGTCTGAAACAGGTTGCATTTTCAAGAAATCATGTGACACTTGTTAACCATATCAAGTGAAACAGATACCTGCAGTTTTAAGCTTACTCTACTCTGAGCATCTCTAGTAATATCTGCGTGGCTAAGGCCCACTGTACCTGATCGACCTCCTTCCACGCTGATGTTATCCCCCTCCTCTCCTCCCTCGTTCGTTTTCTGTTTCTTCAGGACACGGCTCCTCTTCATAGGCAGCGGTGGTGCCTGCTCTGCCCCCGTCAGAAGCTGAAGACTGGCACGGCCTGGTTTGGGCTTTACTGTGGGCGGCCTTTTGAACCGTTTGCTTGGCGTGAATTCTGTAGTACCATTGGTAGGTTGTTCCGCTAGTTCACTGGACTCTTGTTTGCTAAACTTGTTCACAATTCTCTTGACCTTTCCACCAGACAGCCTCGAACTACTCCCTCTGTCTCCAAGAGGAGGGGAGCCCGGTTGTGGCTTTGGAGGGATCTCCGGTCTGGGCTTAGCCTCAGGCTTGAGGGGTAAAGGAGATGTGGGTCGTTCCTGGATAGACATGGTAGCTGGAGGGTGTCTGCTTTAGTGTGTTTCACTCCCCCCCTGACTAATCAGAGGTCAGGCTTTCAGGGCAACAGTCAGTATGTCATCCTCACCTGATGAGGAAGCACAAAGGAAAATTATTCAGTTTACAGCTGAAATAAACATTTACAACAAGGGAATAAACATTCAGAAAGTCCATTACAGTATAATCCTGAGTCAGACTTTGAGTTCTAAGTTACAAATCCCCCCACTGGAAGGCCTCAGACGAAAATGAACTTTGCACTGTAGGGAGAACACTCCTGTCTAGTGAAAACTAATTATCACACATAATACAAAAGATAATGTAAAGTCATCTGTGTAGCTTAAGTTGGTGAGTGTGTTTGGTTCACTGTTCAGCTCTGGCTACAAACTAAACAGAACAAAAATATGAGTTGGTCAATTCATTAACTTCTAAGTATTAATTCAAATAAGTCTAAAATACACTGAACAAAAATATAAAGCAACTTTTGTTTTTGCTCCCATTTTTCATGAGAAGATCTGAGACTTTCTATGTCGCGAAAAGGCCAATTTCTCTCAAATATTGTTCACAAATTGGCCTGAATCTGTATTACTGAGCACTTCTCCTTTGCCAAAACAAACTATCCACCTCACAGGTGTGGCATATCACGACGCTGATCAGACAGCATGATTATTGCACAGGTGTTCCTTAGGCTGGATACAATAAAAGGCTGCTCTAAAATATGCAGTTTTATCACACAGCACAATGCCACAGATGTCACAAGTTCTGAGGGAGTGTGCAGTTGGCATGCTGACTGCAGCAATGTCCACCAGAGCTGTGGCCCGTGAAGTGAATGTTCATTTCTCTACTATAAGCCGTCTCCAAAGGCGTTTCAGAGAATTTGGCAGGACATCCAACTGGCCTCACAACCGCAGACCACGTGTAACCACACCAGCCCAGGACTTCCACATCCAACATCTTCACTTCCAAGATCGTCTGAGACCAGCCACCTGGACAGCTGTTGCAACAATCAGCTTGCAAAACAAAAGACTTTCTGCACAAACTGTCAGAAACCTTCTCAGGGAAGCTCATCTGCATGCTCTTCATCAGGGTGTCGACCTGACTGCAGTTCGTCGTTGCAACCGACTTGAGTGGGCAAATGCTCCCATTTGATGGCACGACCGGTTTTCACTGTGCAGGGCAGATGGCAGACATACAACGCCGTGTGGGTGACTGGTTTGCTGATGTGAATCGAGTGGCCCATGGTGGCGGTGGGGTTATGGTATGGGCAGGCATACGTTATGGACAACGAACACAGGTGCATTTTATTGATGGCATTTTGAATATGCCATTCATCCACGACAATCACCTCATGTTGCAAGGATCTGTACACAATTCCTGGAAGCTAAAAACATCCCAGTTCTTGCATAGCCAGCATACTCACCGAACATGTCACTCACTGAGCATGTTTGTAATGCTCTGGACCGGCGTATACGACACGGTGTTCCAGTTCCTGCCAATATCCAGCAACTTCAAACAGCCATTGAAGAGCAGTGGACCAACATTCCACAGGCCACAATCAACAACCTGATCAACTCTATGTGAAGGAGATGTGTTGCACTGTGTGAGGCAAGTGGTGGTCACACCCGATACTGACTGGTTTTCTTGATATGCCACACCTGTGAGGTGGATGGATTATCTCAGCAAAGGAGAAGTGCTCACCAACACAAATTTGTGAACAATATTTGAGAGAAATTAGGCTTTTCGTGTACATAGAGAAAGTCTCAGATCTTTAAGTTCAGCTCATGAAAAATGGGAGCAAAAACAAGTGTTGCATTTATATTTTTGTTCAGTGTATTTATTTTTCCATTCTAAACATCCATCCATCCATCCATTATCTATACACCGCTTAATCCTCACTAGGGTCGCGGGGGGCTGGAGTCTATCCCAGCTGACTTAGGGTGAAGGCAGGGGACACCCTGGACAGGTCACCAGTCTATCACAGGGCTACACTGAGAGACAGACAACCAAGCACGCTGACATTCTAAACATCTACTTCTTAAATTCTCATTTATTCACGAGTCCCAGCTCAAAAGCATGATCTTGGTTTATTGATTTATCATTCTAATGGCTGGGATGTGTCAGAACAGGGATGCTGACTTAACACACTGTATAGACAGCCGTCAGTAACTGCAGTCTAACTATGAAAAAACATGCAGGAGCAAAATGGATTGCTTCTATATTTGACATCTGAGTAAGGAGATTGGGGTGAAATACAAACGGCATTTCTTCTTTCTGTACGTCATGAATGTGTAGTGCCTCTGTGACAAGCTGGCATTTGGAATAATACATGATTCATCTCACACAGGTGCAGTGTAGTTAATAATTAACCACTATATCAATACAAATATGTAATAATATTCACTCCACCCTGTCTGCTCACTGTTGTGCTGACAGCTTGAATCGCCTCAAGTGCTGTTTATGAAATGAAACTGTTTTAATTTCCTTTTTGTTTTTTTTACACAAAAATTTTCATTACTTGAGCTTATACATTATCATACACACTAAAAAATGACAGCTATGAATTCAATGACCACATTACAAACAGAAATCAGAGTAACACGATCATGATACTGCTGTCCTGCGATACTCGTTACATTGTGAGACTCAACAATTTATCATGAGATCTGTGTAACTGAAGACAAAAAAAATACTCTTAAAAAAGCAAAAAGCATATTATCAACACTATTTAATTTTATTGATGTATTATAAAATGAATATTAATTCACTAATGTGTGAGTTTGATTTAATTAATTAGCTCAAATCAATGAGCAATCTAATTAGCTTAATTGGATTTGACTTCCCCTGCCGTCTGAGCTGTCCACAGTTCGTGATGAGTCATCATGTCGTAACTCTAGTGCATCTAATTGATCAGGGGAATTGCTTTACAGCGCCTGCATGTTTTAATAAAAATATTAATATCCGGCACCAGGATGTCAACAGTGTATGCTGTGCGTTGCGGAGAAATGCTGCTGTATGATATATAGCCCCTCACCTAATTACAAACCCAAAAACGTTGCACTCACACACACACAGATGCCCTCGACTGTCCATCTATGAACACTGACATTTATGATTGTAGTAAATCCACATCTATTCAGGCCTTCGAAAGTCATACACTCTGAAAATGTCTATATTCAAAGCACTCCAGACATTCAAATGAAGCAGCCAAATAGTCTATAAAAAGAAACATGATAATAATAGAGTCCAATCTTGGTGACCAAATTGCTATGTAGCAAATTCCGCTCACCATATGTTTTTTTGATGTGTGCGCGACAGCTGATGTAAGACCAAACCAAGCGAGGGTTAGTCATCTTCTGAGTCACAAAGAAAAGAGATCAGAGACCCAGAATAAGATGCTACTACCCTGCTTTTTCTGTGCAAGCATTTAGAATTACACATGCGTCACTGAACAGCTGTAGCACAGCGATTACATTTTAGGTTAACTGAATAATCATTCAGTCTGTAGCGATTTAAAATAATGACAAATCCATGCCCTAGTGCGTCTTCTGGCTGTTCCCCTGCTGTGGTCCAGACTAAAAAAATCTTAAGAGAAATTGGCTGAATGGCTTGAAATGACTTGCGGATGAGCATAATTGGATGTGATACACAAATCTGTTTAAATAAAATGGCACAACTGGCAAAGTGTGATGACTGACAATCCCTGGTGCAGCTTCTCAAATGTGAGATTCATTAACTGCTGAAAACTGAGTATCATGCCTGGGATAATGTGGTCGCAATTTTTAATGAACACAGCATGGTTGACGATTATTATAAATATGAAATTGCAGTGTAGTGTATCAACACGTGTTCTTTACTAGATACTAGGCACTACAAAAGTATAAAAAGAATACATAAAATGACCATCAGCACATCAGTGTTTCAAATTAAATATGTTGAGTTTGACGGGTCTTTGTAGCCAAATGCTGCCTGTGCGTCCTGCTCACTTCCAGGCCGTCGTACCGTGCACCCCCCTCCACAACAAATACCCACCTGCCACCACTGCGCAGCACCCCCAAAGATTCAGGATATTCATCATTAATTGGGGCCGAATATCTGGAGAACAGAAATTGCTATTCAGACCAGCCCTAATCTATACACCGCTTAATCCTCACTAGTGTCACGGGGGGGCTGGAGTCTATCCCAGCTGACTCAGGGTGAAGGCAGGGGACACCCTGGACAGGTCACCAGTCTATCACAGGGCTACAGACAGACAACCAAGCACACTCACATTCACACCTACGGACAATTTAGAATCACCAACATGTTTTTGGACTGTGTGGCCAGAGAACCCGGAGAGAACGCACGCAGAAAGATACCGGGACGTGAACCGGCAACCTTCTTGCTGCGAGGCGATGGTGCTAACCACCGCTCCACCTTGCAGCCCACACTACTAACTTATTAAAGCAAAATCTTAGTCTCTGCTGTTATGGTTTATTTATTTTTTTACTGTGTCTCCCACAAATCCTCTTACTTTACTAAATTACTGTCACGATGGAATTTACAAAGTGCTCTGTAGCTCTGTGGAAGATTAGAAGCTGATCATTTTATGTAAAGTGAATTTATATGAGACTGAGTCAAACCGTATGTTAAAGAAGTAATACTGAGGATCACAGATGTCAGCCAGCTAAAATGGGTTCTTGACTTGAAAGCTTACTAAAGTCAATAACAGACAACTAGCAGCTTTTTGTTATTGGAAAAGTGCACCAGCTAGTCAGACCGGTCTGGAGGAGATGTACATGCTGCACAGTGAGCGTGCGAGCTTATAATAAAGAGACAGATAGAGTTTCACATTTCAGTCTGACAGGAAAATACTGCCGAGCTGGCAAACTGACAAATATAAAACAACATAGTCATTATTGCTTTACATTTTTAAGTTATTTTTGGAAATATGGCAGTTTCAAAACACCTCTCTGACACTGGGAAACACAACACTATTACAGCGTTGGACATGGGTGGGTGTAAAGCAGGTCTTTTCAGTTTTCAGTTTTGGCCCTCTGGTTATTTTCACTGTCTACAGGGTGACATACAGTCATAGAACATCTAGTAGGAGGGTGTGTCTGCTGACAAAGTGTCCATTTAGACAGCAGTAATAACCCTCTGATTGTGTGTTAATGCATTTATAGACAATATGAGACACTTGAGGTTACTTTTCCCCCCTCACTTTCCTTTAAGCAGCCCCCCACCAGATTTCACCTCTTTTGTCTCCCTTTGCTCTATTGACCTGGTTCGTTCAATAGCTGCATCCTCCAGTCTACTGGACACCTTCACACACTCAGGCTGGGTCAGTGGGCCATCCATTCATTCTAGTAAGTGTATTTGTCCTGCTAAATCCAATACATCATCCAATACACCAGATACAGTGTGATCACCTAAATTAGACCAGCTTGAGAACAATCTTAGAGTGCTTTAGGGGCCGTCCATTAACACAATGCCCTGTGTGCTCGTGTGTGTGACTATGTGTATGTGTATATACAGTACGCCATCTGTTCTAGTGACTAATGGGTTAGTGAGTATAGAAAATGGGTAGGGGGGCTTTAAGGGAGCTACTCTGCACCGCAATACATGTGATGTGCATGTAAGCTCCACGTTGGACAGGAAGAGTGACGGAAAAAGGTGTGTCAGGAAGGAAAACACACACACACACACAGGGGGTGGGAATCCAGAAATAGGGATATACTATTGGTGACATGAGTGGTATGAGAAGAGTGTTTCCATATATACACATAGATGTGAATCTATATTGTTTAGGTGTTAATAGGATGAGCTACAAGGAAATCCTGACTTTAAAACAGCAGAAAGCTACAACTGGTCTTGCCTAGTGAGCAGTAAGATTGCACTGAGAACATCATTTTACAAATATATATAATATGTAAATTAGACTATTCATAAACTCGTCAAAATCAAAGCTGGCCTTATCGCCTGATGTATAGCTTAGTCTGTACTGTTTTCTCGCGTTTATTAACTAAGAAAACACCATGTGAAATATATTTAGACACATTAAATTCTAAAAAATACCACAGGGTAAAAAAGAAGAAAAGAAAATACAATTACTTTTCAGTATAACAATGACACTACAATCTCCACAAGTTTTCCATATGGGAACAGGTGCTCTCAGCTCAACCAAATTGCACCTGCTAAACTCCCAAGAATAAATGAACCTCACTAAAAAACGTAAATTACAGTGGCAAAAACTCACCAGTATTATTCAGACGTGTCTGAGTGTTCCTCTGTAGTCATTCGGCGCTAGTGTCGGCAGTCCAGCATACTGTAGTTAGCTTTGGCAACGAAACAAAACAAACCAAAACCTCTGGGATAAAACCGGTACGGGGAGCAGCTACATTAGTGTACTTCAAACTTTACGCTCGTCCCGACGAGAACTAAAACCGTCGTTAAAGAGGCTGTTAAAAAAATATCCAGAATGTAAAAGAAAACCTCGTTTAGTTCATTGTTGCTGCTCTGACAGGCTTTTCTGAGCACCCATCACCCCCCTCTTGTTGTCTGTCGTCTTTGTTACCAGCAGCTCTATGAGAGGTGCGAGCAGCAGCGGCAGCCGCCTCAGGCTCAACCACCAACCGCACGGAGACGGTTACACCTTCCGGTTCCGGACTTCAAAATAAAGGTACACGTTTGCCAGTCAGCACGCAAGCAAGTTACCACAATAACATGACAATTTATTTATTTATTTTTGACAAACATGAAATTTTGCTCGCGCAAATGAGCTTTAATTTATCATCATAGCCTTAACCAAAAAAATAATCTTTTTGTATATCTTGCTCTATAATTACTATTTAAAAACTGTAAAAACACACACAAAAAAAGTGCAACATACAGTATCTTAATGAATACCCGTAATTTAAACCATTAATCTATATTTAATTTGTTTTATTCATGCATGATTTACTCTTTCTTTACTCTTTTAACTTAAAGTATCGGATTGAGCCTTCGTTTTCTTTGACTTTTATTTTGAACGCGGTGATTCCGGGATTTTTTGGGGTGTTTATTCACAACTTTATGTACCTTTTGGTCTTCCAAAGGTTCTGATTTTACAGCCTAAAAACAATTATTAACCTCTAAATGCATGTACTTTAGTGTAAGTATTATAGCTTTACCCTAACAGGTGGCAAAAGAGGCGGTGCTGAGCTGCTGCATAACTTCCTCACACCTCTCTGTATCCTACTCCCACCTAGTGCCTTCATTTGGAACAGACATACAGTGCCCATTAAATTATAAAAAATTGTGTTCTTTGAGGGGTTATTTAAGTTGTTTTAATGTTTTCATTACTATGCCAGGAGTAGAGAATTTACATTTTGGGCTGTAAATGATGGTGTATGGTTTTACTGTTTCTGCAAATGATTATTCTGTGGCAATTAAATATAAAGAAATATGCTTATATTACTTACCAACTTGATATGTAGTTTTATAATGCCGGAATTTGGATTGACTGTTACAAAATTGTCACTTTCTGTCTCCTAATTTTACATTTATGAGTCAAAATGTTTTACTCATAATTTTTATTTTACTATATGTTTGTAAATTATCTCATAATTTGATTTATCATCTCCTAATTCTGCCTTAAACTATTTCAAAATAGTAGAGCAGAGTTCACCTACCATTTCAGAAGTTTAACTTATTCATTGCCTATGGAATTTTATCCATCTCATCATGTGATTTTTAACTCAATCATTTGAACTTCTACATAAATTTTGCTCAGTAACCCAAATTTCCTTAGAAATGACCTCTATCTTGTAATTTTGTCTTAAAAGTCATAATAATTAAAGCGTTAACTTATGAAGTAAAATTTACTTAAGACTGACATTGGATAATAATAGATTTAGTATTTCAAAAATGTGGATTTACCATCCTAAAAATTTGATAATTTGAGAAATAATATTTTATTTAGCCTTTATTTATTGTTACAAAAGTATAACTTCCTATCTTATTATATTTTTAATTTATCACTGATTTCACTCAATATGTTAAGATAAATGATTTGCCCTTCAAGCTTTATATTTTTTCATTTTTAACTCAAATTTTTGACGCACAATCTGATCATTTTGACCTGATACCTCAATACTTTTACAATAGTAGCCCAGAATTTCTTATAAATACTTCTGTCTTATAATTTTGACTTGACTTTCATGATCATTAGCTTGTTATTACCTTAAAAAGTCAATTTATTTTTTGGGTTAACGTGGCATGATTACAATCTCTTATCTATTGCTTTTGCCTTGCTATCTGGAGCAACTTTCCATTTTGTTAGTTTGACTTTGTCAAAATTTGAATTTCTAACTTCTCTCAATATGTTAACCATCTCATAATTTTACCTATAATATCATAATTTATGAATGCGAAGCTTTATCTATTTCAATGATATGTATATGATATGTTTTTACTTTGAACTAAAATATTATGACTTATTCTTACTATTTTGTAGCTTTTACTAAATAGCACAAATTTACTTAGAAAGACAAGTACCTTGTCATTTTGACTTCCAAAATCATAGTCATTAAATAGTAGATATTAACTCAGAAATGCAGATTTATTTTAGGTTACTTTGGTTGTTAACTTACGAGGGTAATGCAAAAAGTTCTCAGCCTCACCCAGAAACAGTGGGTGTGTCTCCCATTCTGGGGCATAACTGTATACTATAAGGCCTTACATCGCTGTCCACAAAACTCAGATGTTTGAAGCAATCAAAGAAAAAAGGAGCTGAACACTTTGAGCTGTTGCTCCAGGTCAGTGTAGCTGACCACACAGAGGCTTGACTTCGTAAGTTGATATTGTAACTTTTTACTTTTGCTCACCATAATATGTTAGCTATCTCATAATTTGATGCATTAATTCAGATTTTTTGGCTCAAGCTTTTGACTTACAATATTAGCAAACATACTATTTCGCAACTTTTACTAAATAACCAAGATTTTTTCAAAAAGATTTACTGTAATATATTTTTAACCTCAAAGTCCTAATCATTAGACAGTTTACTCACAAAACTAAAATGATTTTTTTAAATGTTAGATAATTATTGACTCATTCTGTGAAAATATTGACTTACCATCTGTTATTGCAGAATTTTGTCTTTCTATTTCAAAATTTGATTTTACTAATATAAAAGTTAAATTTTCTGTCTTATCATTTTGACTCCATGAATCAAAGTTTTAACTTTTACTTAACTTAAAATGTTAGCTTATAATTTGACATTCCATCTCAGAATTGTGATATATTAATATAAAATATCTCATGATTGTGATTTTAGCTCATCACAGTCTAATCATTTAAACTTTCTATATAATTTTTTTTGACAGAGTTACCGTAATTTTCTTGTGATTGATAATTTGGTAACTATAATAATTTCGACTTTAAAAGAGATCATCATTTGATAGCTAGAAATGAACTAACATACAAATTTAAATGCATTTTTGATTAGATATCAGATGCTGATTACCATTATAACTTTTTTTTTTTCTGTCTGTTTTTTTTTTTTTTTTATTTTTTTCTTCCTTTCCATTTTGACCCCACTTTTTTTTTTTTGTCTTTTTTCTTTTTTTCCTGCGGTTCTTTTTTTTTTTCTTCTGGTTATGAGTATTTTATTTGATCACGCACACATCATCATTTATTTCCCTTCTTCCATGCGTAGACTGTGTAGAACTTGAGGCAAAGTGTGATGCTGACTCCTGAAGAGCATGCAGGCCATTATGAATGAGAAGTAGTCCCGGTCAGTTTGATAGACGTGAGTCGCTGCGAGGGCTGACAACTCGAGACATTCTTTGACTTATCATTTAACACTCTGGGTACCACATCAAATCGTTTTAGGGCTGAATATAACAGTCGAGTGATCAGAGAGAGATTAACATCTCGCGGATCTATTTCACTTGGATGCTCCTGTTGCGCATAGATACTGCGGCATTTCCTTTATACTCTGTGAGTCGCAGTGCACGGTTGTATCGCTCCGCCGGCAGAGGAAATGCTCGTAGACCAATCACATCTGTGTTTACACCATCACCTGTCAAACACACACCCTCTGGTACATTTTCTCTCTGAAAGGTAGGATTTCTGCATTTATTTCATCTTCACTTTTTATCCAAATGCGAACACAGGGGATGAAGTCAGAGTCTAGTCACGGCAGCAACAAAGCCGGTTCGCCTGTGAGCGAGAGGCAGCCAGGGATAGCAAGGTTAGCGCCCCCGGAGCTAACGAGCTGGAGCTGGTTATCTGTCCGCCTGGCTTGTTTTTTAGCCGATTATCAGAAAGTCCTTGCGCCTAATCATCTCTGGCTGAGGTCGGCGCACAACGATGTGTGTTAGCTTGACAGACCCGGCCAACTAATGCTGGAATTGCTGAGCTTGTGCTGGCCGACGTTAGCAGAGGTTATCATAGCCGAGTGGCTAACAGGACCAGCCATGCAGTGCATCCTCAAGCTAGCAATAAAGACTGCTGGATGGAGATGCGTGTAACGGAGTGGTTAGCTAGCTGTGTGCACGGCTGGATTAATGTAGCCCTTTGTATTTAGGGTCCGAGGACCAAGGTCCAGGACCCCTTGATTGCAAAGCAGAGCAGGGGTCCTTGCCGCAGGTGTCTATTGTTCCTGTAGTGTTTCTTTCATTCTTTCTTTATTCCTATTCTTCGTATTATTATTATTTGCTTGACGCACACAAAACCCTTAATTTGACTCCCTAAACACGCTCAAAAACTCACCAAAATTGGCACGCACCTGCGAATCGGCGAAAAATTTGATAAAATGACAAAAACTAACGAGAAAAGCTCTGTAGCGCCACCTAGTTACACAAAACACTAAAACGTGCCTAAATGGCCCTAGCGCCCAGTAGGAATGTCGCACAGAGATCAAACCAACACCAAAACGTTCGTCTCAATGAGACCCACAAATCTCGTGCTGACACCCCTGACCTATCTCAAACAGGAAGTCCGCAATTTGCCTTTCAAAGTTAAAAAAACGAGTGAAAACATCTTTTGGGAAAACATTATCTTGTCTGACACCGTAAATCGTACCAACTTGAAACAGGAGACAGAGAAGGCCTTGATGTACAAAAGTTCTGAAGGGATTTGGCGTTTCTCTTACGAAAGTTGATGAGCTGCCGCAGACTCAGCTCATCCGTTCTATGGCTGTGTGTGGGAAATGCACAGACATGCTGTGACAGCTCAGTGCAGCAGGTCATGTCACTCACCTGAAGAAACATGGCTCCTTCACCTTAAAGCAGGTTTAACTTGAAGAACGATCAGACGGGCATGAGGTCGCAGCGTGGACCGAGGACCCGACAAACGCTGCTTGCAGCTTTAATTCTAATTATTTCTATAGTGACCTCCACTGCCATGCTATTGCTAAATTGTGATGTCAGGGGCTCTTTGTTTCTGTCCTTTCTTGCCAGTTTAGCAAACTAACATTGCGGTAGCAGGTGATGACCCACAATGGAAGAGGTTAGACTTACTTATTTAGCCTCACTAGAAATGTTGGAGTATGCACTGAGTTTTTAAAAAGCAAAAATACCACAATTTAAAGTA